GACTTAGATCACATCAATTATCAAAACTCCTATTGAAGTCAACTTTTAAGTTAATTTTTAAAGCAAAAAAAAAATCTGGATTCTCTGTCATCTCAAATTTATGTGCATGACCTCAGACATTTCTCATTAGCTAACAAAAGATATTTTTAAAACTTTATTCTGCTATATGACATTTTAAAAAATTAATTGCTTCAGTAGATGAGAAGAACTGTTTGCCTTAAGTTTACTTGATCTTGTTTTAGGCTCAAAGGTAATTGTGTTTTCTTTTTAAATAAGTTCCAGAAAAGCAACATATTCTGAAATGTAGGAAAGAATTAGGTATCACTTCTATTTATCCTGGAAGAGTTTACATGTAATTTGGTTACAAGTATAGCTGTTAATATTTCCCTTGACAACAAAAGCACTTTTGGCAGAGGTTACTTCATAGGTTAATGAGGCTGAGTCTCATGGTCAATTTTTTCTAACTTAAAAAGAAAAGTTCAGTGTTCCAAAATCTCACTGACTTAATATCTGTATAGTAACTCTAATACATCACATCCCTCTGAGATTTAATTAGTTACAGTAGTAATAGCTGATAATGTCATTACAGATAAGCTGTGAAAAAAATCCCCAAAGATGGATGTTTAAAGTTCTAGAGATATTCATAAATCACAACTAAATTCCCATAAAGGAGCTACATTAAATGTGATCATATCCATCTTTAGGTTGGTCACAAATGTGAGAGATAGGATGCCTTATACATTTTATTATGCATATATAACATATTATGCTAAACAAATACATTCATGACATGGGCCTGTGAGCCAGGGAGGCTTGGGGCTTGAGGCAACCTGGATGAGGAGAAATGGAGGAACCAGGAACAAGGATGGACTCTGCTGGCAACACTGTCTCACCTCCTCCGCCTTGCCTCCCCCACCTACACACACACACACACACACACACACACGCACACGCACATGCACACACACACACATATGAGCAGAGATTTCTAAAGGGAAAGGACGTTGACCACTCTGGTGACGAGTGGAAACAAGGCTAGATCCACTCTCCAGCCCCAGGCCTGATTTTTCTTGATCAGAAGGGAACTACAAAGATGCCTTCATAACGGCCGTGCCTGTCAGTTTCGTGGAGCGTCATTCAAGGATTTTCTGAGCCTGACGGATTTACGGTGATATTCAGACGCTGGTGGAAGCATTCTCTGGAGTTACACCCAGCACACTGCTGGATGCTAAAAGTGGTTCTAAGGAAGGCCTTGGCTGAGTGCCTCATGGATTCCTACAGCTGAGATGCCCACGGGAGAGCAGAAGACGAGTAGAGCTTCCTGTAAGGGCTGAGGCCAGCCTCGTCTCAGACAGGAATGTTTTGTTGGGTCTTTGCCAGTTCCCTTTGGAGGCTCCCTCTGAAATGGGTGAAGTACCACGGTTCACAGGACTGGTGTAGAGGGTCACAAAATAGACACTGACTTGTAGAACAACCAGCACTGTACCTGGCATATAGCCTAAATTCAGCACACAAACTGGGAACACTCACTGTCCTCCTGGAGAGACAAAATTTCAGTAAGGGCGCAGGTGCTGTGTTAGGCTCTAGGATCAAGAGCCTAACTAGCCTAACTGCAAACTAGCCCATGGAGGCTCACTCTCTGAAGGGAGCTCATGCCCTTGGTCACTAGGCCAAGGAGCTCAGACATGACCTCAGGTCACTAGGCTAAGACAGACAATTCTGAGTCTGGGAGAAGCAATTTTTACTCCATTTTTGGCCCCTGCTGACTGTATGAATTTAAGCAGATCAACTCCCTTCTCTGGATCACTGGTAGGGAAACGGTTTAATTGCTCTGCTAAACTGGAACATCTGAGAGTAAAATGGGCACTATAACACTTTGGGACAAGCAATGGAAACCAGGACATTGCTGGGCAAACCAGGACACATCGGTTAGATGGGGACAGTGCTGCCAGTACTGCTGCTGCTGCTTGGTGACTGGGTGCAAATCTGCTCCTCCATTTCCCCACTGCATTTGCACACATGCAGTTTGCATTTCTGCTTTGGGGATATGAGCTCATTATCTCACAAGTATGCCTTCAGTTTCCTGGAAGAACCCGTTTCTCTTTGAGCCCAGTTATCCCAAACTGCAGCTAGAAGAGGCCCCACCTACTTCCTCCTCCCCCCGACCCCGCCCTTTTAAAAAAATAGATGGGCCCCTGTGATGACTGACAGCACACGCTAGTCTTAGGGACTGGGGCAACAGTCCTCAGGGCAGGGGGGGATGGGACTCAGAACTGCTCTCTTACATACACAGACATGGCATTTCCATTGATGAAGCCGTGCCCTAGACCTCAACAGGGGTGCCAAAGCCCCCTGGAGATCTGCTCAGAGTTGTTCTAAGAAACAGTTGTAACTCATTTTCCAGGCCAAGTCTGGACACCAAGGTATCTCAATGAATAGCTATAGGGCTGCTTAAGGATTGGTGTGTTTGGAATGTGTCACTTTGACCAGTAACCCTTTTACATTTGAAGATCCTGAGACTCAGAGCAGTCCAAAAAGCTGCCAATTATCTAGAGAGAAAGTAGAGGCTGGTGTTTACACTGCAATCTGGAATCCTTCAACCACCTACTCCCGTTTGTTTCTCAAAGTGCACCAATGATTTAAGGTTACAGTTGGTCAAGTTGTAAAAAAAATTTAATATTTACTTTAACTTGAACAAAAAAAAGAGACCGTAATTGACACATAGGATCTGATGTTGCCAATATTATTGCTTAAGAAGTGAAGTATGTATTTAAATGAGAAAGGTCAACTTTGTGAAAATATCAAGGTGGTAACTGGACAGAGCCCATCCTGCAGAGGGCTAAATTGGGAGTCGGGTCCCAGCTCTGATCTGTAATACTCTGTGTAGGGCTCTAGCCACATCACTGGAGGTAGAGTGACACCGAGCCAGTGACCCAAGTTGCTGTATCCTGCTTCATGTCAGTTCTGCCTTCTAGCCCACCTTGATCCTCCCAGGACAAGGGCGTCATTATAATGTTACTATTCTGCTTAGACTGACTGAGGTTACCAATCTGGGCCCTGCTGACTCCATTATATTTATTGAGCACTCAAAATTTTGCAATCAATCCCTGTATTCCTCTTGAGATTGAATTATAAAATAGTAAATACCACTATACAATTTTTTAAAAAGTATACTTAGTTGCCAAACACTTTCCATTTGGTCTGAGATCTGTTAGTTTTCAAATCCTCTAAAAAAATGAACTTTTATCAATGGTAATCAATTGCCAGAATTTGTGGCTATCTTCTTTAAGGTGCACACAAGTCAAGTGAAAGCACAGTATTTCTGTGCTTCTCAAACTAGGATACATACAAGGAGCATGTGGTAACCTAAGATAACACAATTCATCTTCCTAGAGAATATAATTCATCAAGTATAATACCTGGATGTGGAGGACTGTATTACAATTATGAATTAGTTTACTACATTTGTGATAAAACACTGCATCGAATCACTTCAATGTCATGACTAAAGGAAATTTGAGAAGTTTTTGAAAAAAAGCAAAAAGCTCTGTGAAAAGCAAAGCAATATTTAAATATAGGCATACCTTATTTATTGAGCTTCATTTTACTGTGCTTCACAGATTTTGTATTCTGTTTTTACAAACTGAAGGCAGAACCCTCCACCAGCAAAAACACTACATTGCAATCCACTTTATTGTGATACTCACTTTATGGTGTTGGTCTGGAACCAAATTCACAGTATCTCTGAGGTATGCTTATATATGGCTGGGACTAATTACTATGACCAGGGTCTCCTGTGACACTTCATTTGCTTTGATTTTCTACTGATTCATGTGTTAGTTTAGTTTGATAAAATATTTCAAGTGTCCTACTGTTACCTATAAAGGTACACTGTTACTTAAGTGAATTATGCCAATATTAATAACATAAATTTTTTAATGAACAAAGCAATATCTATTTATTTATTAGCAGGAGCAAAGAAATTACAATTCCATTCCCATTTTTTATAATTCAACCTAAGATGTCTTACACATACCTGCATACCACACTGTACCTAGTGGTAGGTGGTCATGAAGTGATACTTAACATTTCACTCTCCACTGCAATAAATATTACTGTATTTCAACCGAAACTATTTGTATCTCTTTAATCTCATGTCCATCTCTAAATGGTTTTCCTAATGCAGCAACGGCATGGCTGAGTCACACACTAGATCTGTTCAGCACACTTCTGAAACTCAGTACAGTAGCTAACACTCAAAGGGGACTTAATTCTGAGTCAGGACCTGATCTAAACCCATGTTACTTAAAATCTATATATTAACTCATTTACGCCTCACAAAACCTCTCTAGGACAGGTATTCCTATTTTACAGAGAGATTAAGTAACTTGCCCACGGTCACATGGCTGTTCTACAGTGCCGTTCTCATATTCTATTTAATGTCAGCCCATTGTTCATGGGATGGTTCCACAAAGTACCTGATGCTTATATTCTCAGTATTTCTCACAGAAAAAAACAGGCTGAAAGAAAAATGACATACTTTATAAGCTTAGAAGTATTACATAAATATCAAATGGCTTATTAAAGAGAAAAACCATTGACATCTATACTAATAAAAGAGCAAAATGACAGATAATAAAAGTTTAACCCTCCCTTACCTCTTCTAATCGTAATGGTTTGGGAACTGAAATCTATTTTTTTTTTTGGAACACGGATGGCATTCTTTCTGTTAGGAAGATAGAATAAAAGTGAAATGTAAGCCCTAGGGACATCTTAACCTATTTCTTCTTCTTTCATTATAGTCAGAGATGGCCAATCTGAATTGCTGAGTGCCATATACTCTTAGTATAGAAGACTTTATACTGTTTTCCTTTAGTTTGCTGTTTTCACAGTAAAATACTTTAAGCGTAATCTTGGCTGATTTCTAAAATTTTCAGCAGGTTGGAAAATCATAGAAACGGAAAGTTACTTCCAACATATTTCAATTTGGAAACTGAAGCTCATAGAAAGTCATAAAAATCAATTTAATTTAGATTTATTGATTGCCTATAGTGTGCATGGTCCTCTATTAGACACAGCGAAATTCAGGCACAAAACAGACACAAGAGCCCTGGCTTCAGGAACCTTATGATCTAATTGCTATAATACAGATTAGAAACAAAGACAGACAAGTTACATGTCAATGCTCACTTACTAGAATTGACATTAATGAGCAGTAATTTATCCAAAATAGCATCTTAGTCCTAAAATTATTTATAAAATTTGGCCTTGAAATCCATAGCACTTCAAGCAAGATAAGCTCTGCTGCAGATAGAGTCATGAAGATTCAAATACACTGAAACCCTTACGAGCATTATTAATGATTTTTGTTATTTTGGATCTTCTGTTTTCTTCTTATTATTGTTCGAAGCCTCCGTAATACCAGTTTATCAGACAGAAGCATGTCATCTTGTTGTTCTAGATAATCCAGTAAATTTTCAGTCCATTCAAGTGCTGCTTTATGGCTAATGTGCTTCTCTGGATTCATTTCTGTTTTTCTAGTTTTGTTAGCAGGCCTTTGCTCGGCAGGCTTGGACTGGTCCTCAGCACCTTCACTGTCAGTTAGCACCTGACAGCTTGAGTTATTACTCTGAGAGTCAAACCACTGATCAATATTCTCAATATTAACATGTTCACAGTCTTCTGTATTCTGTAAAACTGTCGCCAAATTAGCTGCTAAAATGGCTCCTTCATCAATGTTCATACCTGAATTCTCTTCATTTCCAGGGAAAAGTTTTTTCCAAGCTTTGGTTATGGTACTTGATTTTACCATGTTCCAAGCTCTTGATACTTCATAAATTGCATCCAATACTGTCAAGTTCTTCCAAAACATTTTTGGATCAATTCCTTCATCCATGTATTTCTGGAGAAGCCCTGCTCGGTAGTATCTTTTTACCGTGGCTAGAATTCCCTGGCTCATAGGTTGAATCAGACTTGTGACATTTGGTGGCAGATATTTGACAATTATTCTACCATCATCTGAACTCAACAATTCTTCATTTGGATGTGCTGGAGGAAAATCCAAAAGCAGCACTGCTTTTTCTAGAAGCCCCTTGGATTTCAAATGCTTTTGTACCTGTGGCACAAAGTATTTTTCAAACCACTGTCTGAAAACAGAATATTCTATCCATGCACTTTTTTGACTGAAATAAGTGACAGGAAGGTTTGAAAGGTCAGCTCCTTTGAACGCACGGGGTTTTTTCGCCTTTCCCACAACACAAAGATTAAGTTTGTGTAAACCTGTGGCATTTGCACAACACATAATAATGATTCTCTCTCTGCTTGACCTATAACCAGAAGTACTTTGCTCAGGTTCAAGAACTAATGTCCTGGGAGGTAAACATTTCCAGAACAATCCAGTTTGATCAGCACCATAAATTTGCTCTGGTTGTAGATTCTCTCTTTCAACAAATTCCTGAAAGTTACCACAAAATTCACTGGCAGCAGTTTCATCTCCTTTTAATTTTGTTCCTTTACCAGCAGCCTTGGGAATACCATGGCGCTGCTTAAATCGAGTTAGCCAGCCAGATGATGCATTAAAATCACCTTCCATCCCTAGAGCATCAAAAAAGAATTTGGCTTGCTTTGCACAAATTGTTCCAGACACTGGAATTCCATCTGTTTTCTGTTGGTTAAACCACTCTATCATAACTCTATCAAGTTCCTCATATGTTGATGACTTCATAGATTTACGTTTGGATACCCCGCTTGTAGGATCTGAACTGTTTGCATAGTTTATTATCCTTTCTTTGTTCTTTTTAATATCCCGAACTGTGGATTCACCAATTCCATACACCACAGAAAGTTTTTTGAAAGAGATGCCCTCCTCAAGTTTCTTAATAATGTCAAGCTTGTCCTTAATTGTCAATACCACACGCTTACGTTTCCCCAACATTATAATGTCCAATATTTTAGGCAATTACTAGAACAAGATATTTAACAACTTAGACTTAAACACAATGAGATTAGAAAAGGGGATTTTAAAGTCCCTCCTGCCCCCTAGGGCCTAGATGGATAGTGTGCTGGCCAATTTCCAGGCAAGGCCTCTGTGACTTTCACTTTGCTGTTTTAAAACTTACAAATTCCTTCAACAAGAACTAGCTCCTTCTATCTTTCTTCCTTCTCATTCAGTTTAAGGTCTTTTCATGAACTACAATTTCAGTGGAGACTGCACCCAATACTGTACCAGTAAGGTCTCAAAAACAGTCTTATTGCATACTCAATTCTTCATGCCACCATTACAGGTGAAGTTATTTGCTTAAGGACTAAGGTTCAGTTGGGAGTATTTTGAGAAATGTGCTGGAGAATAAAGAGTTTAACAGAGAACTTGCATACCTGACATATAGGAAAATATACTAGGAAAACCCATTCCCTGACTGTTCCCTTTCAGGAAGCGCATTGTATGGAATGCTGCCTCTTCCGGACAAGGGATATTACAGGTTATGCCAAGTGAGTAGTTATGGCAATCATAAGCAAGCAAGGTAAAGTAGGCTGGATAGAAGTGAGCGGTGCAAATAAGGCGAAAGTGGACAAGCAGAAAACTTTGTACGTTAACAGACACAAACTCATACCTAATGTATTTAACAACTGGAAAGGAAAAAGGGTAGACAATAAGTGGTGTTACATGATTTAAGAAAACATAACAAAACTTCACTGGTGGAAATCAGGACTCATGGTAGAGGGTATGGGGTGGAAGGCTCAGTGGTGATGTTATACAATAATCCTGGTGGAGGATGATCCTCGATGGGCCAACAGAAGTACTGCAGTCCCTTTGGGGGGGGGGGGCTGTAGAGGTACTCGGAGCCTCCGAAACCTAAAGGAAAATACCAAAAACATTTTTTTTCAATATCAGGGTCTGTGGCATTACCCACACCTATCCTTAAACTATGTTGAAAAAATTAACGTTTCCTATCAATGCGATGGCTAAATATGACAAATAATGCTTTTAGTCGTTATCTGAAGTGACAGAGAGCGGGACCTGAATTGCCTACCTCCTGAAATTAAGAGATCAGAGTGAAGTCGTGTAAGCGAGGGCCTCTCCCTGAAGGGCGAGCTCTGGAGCGCGGGACGTCTTCGCTCACGCGGAGGGAGCCCGGGTTCGTCCGTGGACGCTGGTGACCGGGTGTCACCGCCGCAGCCAGCCGGCGAGCGAGCTGCTGCTCGGCCCAGAGGACGCCAGTCCGCGGGCGGGGGGCATCGCTCTCCGTCTGCCTGCGCTGCGGCCAGTCCACCCCAAGAGCAAATGGAGTCTCTGGAGGGGACGTTGACACTGGTCGCAGCGGCAGCCTGGAGCGAGCGTCGCCGCCGGAGCCGGAAGGCGGGGGATTAGGGTGCACGCGCGCGCCCCCGCAGGAACGTTTGTCGGCGAGCGGGCGGGGCCAGCGCGGGCGAGCGCGCGCGGCCCGGGGGCGGGGTCGCTGGCGAGCGGGTGCTGGTGGGGGGGCGGGGCCGGCGGAAGAGGGAACGTAGGTGCCACGAAGGTTTTGCTAATGGCTCGGCTGCTCCAGCCCGCCGACTGACTCACGGACCAACAGGGGGCGGTACTGGCTCACCCTATTTGGACCCTTCTCCCAGTGTCCTGGCTCTGAAAGTGAGGCTTCGTCAATGTCCAGGTGGGATAAAATTTGCACCGTCCAGAGGGCTCGCGAGAAAAGTGAGCATCCTCAGGTGCCAGGAGCCGACAGCAAATGGAAAGGGCAGGAGCACGTGGACGGTGTTTACAAATAGCGGCCCTGGCGTTTGCGCCTCCTAGCGCTCGCCGGCCCGCACTGGACGAGCTGGAGAAAGGATCTTGAGCCATGGTAGGAGCTAGTGGACACGACTACCGGCTGAGGGAAGGAAGGCTGGCTGTTGGTGGGGACTGGGTTCTGGAAAGGAGCTGGGGCTTACATTCTGCACGTCCCACCCGACGCAGTCCTGGGAGCTGGGGTGCAGCAGGTGTTGTGAGGGCGGGGGGTGGAAGGAGAGGGCAAACTGGCTCTGAGTCTCTCTTTCTTTGGTGAGATGCTCAACAGTTGAAGCTACATTCCCTGTAGAAGTAGATCTTGTACAAAACCGACCACACGTGGGAGAGGTGTGAGCTTGGAGGTTCCGTGAATTTCCTGCCGCCCCTTTTACTCCTCTTGCTTCTCAGTAGTAACGATTGAATTGCAGTTTGACAAAGAGTCCCTTGAGCTGTTTCAAACGTTTGGAGATAGTATATGTTTTTATTTTGGCATTTTAAATGAAGCGCATGCCATGCCGGCACCGGTGCCCTAATAACTGCCGCTGCCGTGAGTGCCTGGTCGCCACTCCCGGACTCGGTTGCCTGCTGGGCCCTCTGAGCCGTCCCAGGAGAAGGAAGCGGCTACCCTTACATCCAGCGGCACCCGTTTACCGGGAAAATGCGGTTCGCTTTTTTTCTTTTCTGTATACCTTGAAGAGTGGAAAAGTTTCGGTTAAGTTTCTCCAGTATCAGAACGTAAATGACTAACCATTCTCGTTAACACCATAGCATAATACTTCGTCATTTAATTGCAAAGACTATATTGTTGCTAGACTGTTTAAAAAGGGAACTGACTTGAGCTTTCATACTACAGAAAAGAGATGTCGATTCTAAGCTTTGTAACTATTTAACTCCCCCCGCCCAAATTGCTCAATTGCCTTCCTCAAAATCGTAGCTTTCCTCTATTACGCATGATGGAAAAATATTTGATAGTCTAGCAATGCTGTGAAGTTTTAAGTGGTTTTTGACAAATGTTTTTTTCCGGGAGGCGAATCTTTCTCTCCCTCCTCCCCATACCAACCGGACAGTTTCTGCAGTGTTGGTTGACTATTTTGGCTGAAATACAACCTCATACTAGTTTTAAATCACTTTTAAAAGTTTGCCTCTTCTCCTTGATATTTACAAGAAGTGTGAAAACATTTGTATTTGATACAATCCACTGTATCACCATCACAAGGGAAGAGCTGCAGTTTACTGACTGCCAACCAAAAATGTGGCCTATGACCAGATGTTAGCAGCCTAGCTTTGTCCCTACTCCTCCAGCCTACTGGATATTTAATATATATATTAAATATACATATTAATTTATATATTTAAGTTAATATATCATGCTCAACAGTTGAAGCATGGGACCTTCTGGTCCCATGATATTTAAATAACATAACCTGCTCTTTATCTCTATCTGCCAATATCTTTGAGGTTTAATTTTCTTGCAGATATCACTTGCATTGTTTCTCTGTTTTTGCTGAATTTTCCAGCTTGCTGGTATCTTATCTCTTCTAGCTTGTTCCCTTCTCATTACCTTCTGTCCACTCAAATCTGGAGCACAGCCCACATCCTTCGATTTCCTCAAAACACCGCTTCACACAAGGCAGTTGTGTTTGACAGATGCTTCATAAGACTTTACCCAAGGCAGCTGTGTCTTTTCAAAAGATAGTTTTACTCAACAGACTTTTTCCTTTTTCTTGGAGGGAGGAATTGCAATATGACAGATTTATATTAGAGTGCAAGAGTAGGGGGACCTTAAAATAGAATTTGGGGCATATTTCTTTTGTTAAGAGACTGGCTGGCCACAATGAACTGGTCAGTTTCTCTCTTTGGGTGACAGTCTCTCCCCAGCATTTTCCAATATCTGGGTCCCCTTTCTCCTTTCCTTTCAGCTGCTTGTGAAATCTTAAGATTCTTTTTACTTTATTACACAGAGAAATTTTGTATTCTTTATCTTTCTTCGAACTGTCCTTTACCATTTGCTGTGGTTTATTCTCTAATCAAAAGACATTTCACTCCTTGGGCAATTTTGCCACTAGCATGTCTTTCCTTCTTTCTTAATTCTGGCAACAACAGTATAAGGTAGATGATACTTCTGTTTTGTATACAAGAAAACAAAGCCTAAAAAAGTATATGAAGTTGTTAAATGTAGGTGGCAGAATGAGATTTGAGCCAAGTCAGTCTTTAAAATACCGTGCTCTGCTCACGCTATCATAAGCAAGGCATTTAACTTAAAGACATGAAAGAATAAAAAGTATATGATGATTATTTACATGTGATTAAAATTGCCATTTATTAAAATGGAATTTTGGCATTAACCTACCAAAAAGTCATTCTAACACTGAGAGCACAGTGTTTATCAGACTAAAGCATGAGTATTTGGTTTATTGAAATGTGGGTTTTCTGAAAACTACTCCCAATCAACTGAAAGTAGCTTATGCTTCTCATTGTTATAAGCTCTAAATTCCCTTTTCTGCTGAGATAATATCAAAACAAGTATATGATGTGGCCTCACTTCCACTAATATTTTTTTATTCACAATAGTTTCATAATAGAATAGGACGTCTCTTGGTAAATTCTTTATTGTAAAAGAATCACTTCTGTTTTGCTTTTGGAGTTCCATTTACTTGAAAATCAGTGGTTTTCACAAAAACCATTAACTGTCACCTACTTTAAAGGACACATTTTTGAGGAGCATTTTCCAACTAAAATATTTTTGTCTTTGGGATGTGTTTATGTATTTTAGGGCAAACAGGATATGAAATCGTTGTCATCAGTAAAATCAAAGCTTATTTTTTTGAAGTCTTCTTGAACTGCAAAGGAGATGATTACTTTGTTGTAGACAACAGCCCCAAATATTCATTTTTAATATTAAAAATTCCCTTTTGAAATGGTAAAGGTAGGAACACTTTTCCACTTACAAGTTTCTAGACACAAGCAAAATATCAGATTACTCATTAGAAAACTCCATATATATATTTTTTATTAAATTTTATTTAGTTACTTTTCAAGTACAATTTTTTTTTAATCTATTTCTCCTATCCCACCCCACCCCCCCGCCCGGTCTCCCCCCTCCCTCCCATTCCCCCCCCCCCCAGTCCTCATCTCTGTGTCTTTCATACTTGTTCCTCAAAATCCCTCCCCCTTTTTCCCCTTAAGTTCCCTTCAAGTTCCCTTCCCTCTCCCCTCTGGTCGCTGCCCACTTGTTCTCTATTTCAGCGTCTTTGTTTTTATTCTGTTTGCCTGTTTGTTTTATTCTTTAGCTTCCTGTCAAAGGTGAGATCATATGGTATTTGTCCTTCAATGCCTGGCCTATTTCACTCAGCATAAAGAAAACCCCATATATTTTTTTAAAAATTTAACATGATATTGGAAGAGAGCGAGGTCTTATATTCTTGAGTCATACAAATGTCCAGTAGGGGAGTTTTAAACTTGTTTTCTTTGTTTCCTTGGTGGCTGGGAGTAGGTTTTCAGTTAAATGGCCACATAAACAAAGATAAAATTGAGTTCTTAGGAGAACTCAGTTTAATAGGGTTGAAAAAATAAAAATGACTGTTGGAAATGTTTAAGAAAAAGTTAGACTTTTGTTCCTGAAAAACATGGATAAAAGTGGAAGAGAACAGTGAATCGCTGGTTGATGTCAACAGCGTGGGTGGGAAACTTGACATTTATATGCCTGCCTTACTTTTCCAAACCTGCCCAGTGTCCAGCTGTTCTCTGAAGGACCCCACAGTTCCACCAGTTTGGTCAGAGTCCGCTGCGTGTCGGGCCACTCATTCTGACAATCCCCAGCACGTGCAGCATTGCACTTTCAGGCTCTACGTGCTTTCGCGGTAGCTCGGAAAGTCCTCTCCTTCTCTGTCAATCTCTGTAGCCTTCAAGTTCTAGTTTGTCCAGAAAGCTGCATTTCTCAAGGTTGCTCCTCAGACCTGATGGGTCAGAATTACCTGGGTCCAACGTACTGATTCCGGAGTGCATTCAAGGAATGAAACCCAGTGATCTCTCAACTGATTCCAACACACTAAAGTTTGAAAACTATAGTATCTTGACCACCATTTTGAATATGAGATTGCTTCCTCATAATGTATTTCTTTGGAAGGGAATTTTTCATTTTACTCCTCCCTCCTTCTTTATAAATTATATGCCGTCTTTGAAGGAAAATGTGAAATGCAGAAAAGGAAAATAATAATACCAATATTCAGTAGTAACTACTCTTAACATTTTGGTGTGTATCCATTGTCTTTTTTTTGTATCAATGTAATTATATCGTATGTGTATACAATGAGAACATGAAGTTGAAACACACATAACTTTATACATGCTTTTTTAACAACATAGTATAAATATTTTATGATATTATTGATTCCCATCAGCCAAATATCAGCAGGTTGTGAAAACTGGGCTTACTACTACAGCAAGGGAGATCAAGACCTCGAAAAACCATGGAGGGAATCAGGCGGAACTTATTATAAGATTTGGGTAATGTGATTTTAGCAAGGCTTAAAGAAAGTGAAGAGTCTCCTCTGGATTGGGTGCTGTCAGAAAGCAGGGATAGTTTGGCTTTTGGGTATCTTAATGTTTTTCTAGAAAGCTATCAGAATAGAGAGGCTAGAGTTATCACTGGAGCAGAAGCAGTAGCCACTGCTGTTAGCCAAGAGAGAGCGATGCTCGGTCAGTTTTGAGGTTGGCAGCATTCTGCCCTCCGTCCATCCTTGTGAGTCTTTATTCGGGCAGCGTTATGGAATGACCCTGTGTTTGTCTTGGTTCACCACAGTCATGTAGAGCCCTCTTCTAATATCCATGAATTATTTGCATTTGTCAGGGTAACATCATGCCTACATTGGTCAAAGCTTTCAACATATTCTCAGAAGACCTAGGATTCAAAAAAAGTTTAAATAATCATCGATAGATTAGCTCATTCAGCCTTTAAGTGATCCCCAATTTATCTGGGTAAACACATCTTGATGCAATTCTGCCTTAGTAAGACTCTCTTATGCTTTAGGAAGACGGTTATTAACACCTGGCTCCAGTGCATCTAGATTTAAAAGG